AACTCCAAGAATCTAATCGCCAATTAGAATTAGCAGAAAAAGAAAACCAAGAAAATGAAAAAGTTTTAGAGCAATTGATTAAGGAGTTTCAGGAGTTGGGAGAATCTTTATAAAATCATGCCTTATGTCTTTGCGGAGTTCAAAGCCTGATTAGCTGCTAATCCAGACCAACGAGGTGAGTTTGCTAGTTGAGATACTGTTTTAAGTGTCTGAAATAACAATAATTGAAATAAAGCCTTACGAAGAGTTTTGACCGGAACCAATTTACCCAATTCTTCGCCCTTGCCAGCAATTCAGCAGTGACTAAGGGAAAAAGATAATAATTCGCCAGTTCGTGAAACTGCTGGCAATCGGTGACAGTTACTCTTTCACCAAATCACTACCCAGCAAGCTAATTGACAAACCAAATTAACTAATTGAGAAGCAAAAACTAGGACTAATAAAGAAAGATTAACGCAAGTGCAAGCTACCATTACTAATCTTATTACTAACCTGCAAACCATTCCTAATTCTCTAACTAGTCAGAAAAGGATTGTCTTTGCTAACGGAAAAATAATCTATGAAGGAAAAACAATTTATCAAGACCGAACTTTGCTGGAGATGAAACAGCAGTTAGCAAACTTAATTTAGTTAATATGACCGAGCAAAAAAAAAAAAAAAAACAGTGAAGTGTTAGAAGCGTGAACTAATCTTAAAGAAAAAATAACCAACTCCTGAACAGAAGGTAAAGTAGTAGTTTATCGGGACTTTACCGCTCCGCAGACAATAAAAGAACAAGACTATATTCACCAATTAAGTATGAAAGACTTTCTAAACTTGCGGGAAGTAGGTAAGAATAAGGATTATGATGAACAACTAAGGATTAGACTAGTTGAGTATACCAAATTAGAACAGAAATTAGAGCGAGTTAGGAACTTAATTGCTGATGGTGAGATGGAGAAGTTAAAGTATTTGTGTAAAAAAGGTCAAATCTAATAATAAAGAACATTTTTAATTATGCCCAAATATGATGCCAAAACACTAGAGAGGGAGTTTAACAGAAAGAAATTTAAGAAAATATGACACAATATAATGCACAATTAATTGAAGAAATATTCACCAGAAAAGCATGAGTGCGTGCCGGCGATAAAATCCAAGGCGATGGTGGTTATTGAAATGGTGGCCGTTGTGAATATGGCGGAGCACACAACTTAAGGGAAGATTGTCAGACATTAGCTAGATTCTTTAACGATATTACGGAATTAAAGAATGTTCAAAAGGATTTGATAAACTTTAATAATCGAACGGAATTTGAGAAAAATAAGCAAGAATTGTTAAACAAAACTAATCAAATACTCAGTGGTTTAACAATAAAGACAGGTGCTAACACTTCTATCGGTGGAGTTTGTATTATTTGGGATGATTTTGCTGAGTTTATGGATTCAATAGTAAGTGATTTTCGAAAAGAAATAGAAAGTTTAAAAAGAGACATAGAAGGAACTCAATATGAAGAAGCTCAAGAGTTAGCTCTGCTAGAACAAAAGGAAGGAGAATTAAAGCAAGAAATTGAAGAAAATGAGCGAAAAGCAGCCAATGAACCTGACCCAGAAAAAAAGAAAAAATTTATCTTCCTTGCGGATGAAGCAAAAAGTGAATGAAAAAAACTTTTAGAAAAGAAAAAGCAACTGAAACTAGCAAGTTTAGGTGATAATTTTAACCCTGATAAACATATCAATGATTTTCTCAAAAGTATAAGAGATAGTTTGAGTGGTGGAAACACGCCTTCAAAAAACCCTTTCAAACCTAATGAGCCTAATCCAACAGATAATTCGGGAGGAAATAGTAGACCAAAAACTCCTTTTAATCCATTTAAACCTAATTCTAACCAGAATACTTCTCCAGACTGATGACAAACTAATAAGCACTTAATTATCTTTGCTGGTATTGCTAGTTTAGCTCTCTTTTATTTCTACTCTCAAAAAGATGAAGACTATCAGCCAATTAGAAAAGGACAAGAATCTTATGGACAATAGTGCAAATTATGAACTTACTAAAACCCATCAACAAAAAAGAAAAGCAAAACCAACAGTTACTAATAGTCCTTTTACTCTGTGGTTTAGGCTATTATTTTTTTGTTTATCTACCTGACCAAGACCGACAACAATTAGAAATGCAAATACAAACTGATATTAACACACTACAAAATATTCAGCCTAACGAATACTCAAATATGTTAACCAAATTACAAGGTTATTTAAAGTGAAAGGATGGAACTGCTACTCAGCAGGAAGCCTTAGCAAATCAAAAAGAAAGCTTAAACCAAGCCATTAATTGGTTAATTCAAGCTGAAAAGCACTTAGCTGATGAGAACCAACAAGCAAGAACTAGAGAGGAAGAGGAGAAAAAGAAAAAAGAATTGGAGATGATTAAGAAGAAAAAGTTGCATTGGCGAAGGAATAAACAAAAAAGGAGTTGGACTGAAGACTGAATAGCCCGTAAAAAAGATAGTTTTGAAAATGTTCTTAGACGATTAGGAGGAGAAGAAAACATTAATATATTCGATGTGGCTGCCGATTATAGCATTCACTTTCCTCCTTATCTTTGGAATAAGCTAACTAGCGAACAGCAAAAATTAGCCAAAAGTAAAGGTCATGGGGAATTAGAGTTAGATAATAAAACTAAAAATTTTAGATGAAACAAATTAATCGAGGATTGGTATAATAAAGTAGTTGCTAACCCAGTCAGAGGAAAACAAGACCCAACTACTGAAAAAGATAATAATGCTCTTCTTTATGGTGCGGGAGGTACCGGAAAAACTTCCATTGTCAGAAAACTAGCCTACAATGCAAATTGTTATCCTTTGATTGAAATAAAAGGACCTTCGCTGACTCCTCGCAAGGAAGATTATTCTAATGGAATTGACCCTTTAAATAAGTTTGTCTTTACTCTCTGTGACATAGAAAATACCTTGGAGGATGATTATAATTTCTCACGAGAAAGCAACAGCGAAGTTCGTTATATTTTCTTTGTCGATGAAGCTGATAATGTTTGTTCTAATACTGCTCTACCTACCGAATATACTAGACTAATATTTTTAAAGTCTTGTATGGAAGGAATCAGCAAGGAGTCACAAAGTCAAAATCTCTGAGTATTTGCCACTAATTATCTAAATTTAATTGATCCGCCAGTTTACCGTCCGGGAAGACTAAGCAATCCGCTTGATTTTAGTTGGACCTTAGGTGATTTTAAAAGATGTTCTGGAAAAAGTGGTATTACTAGTCAGTTTCCTACTCATTGGCACAAAACGGATACCCTAAATGAGGAGGACAACAAATGAGTGAATAGATTTAATACCATGAGCTTTGAAAATGAATTTTTGCCTTTTTGGAAGAAGTTTATAACTAATTCTGATACGAGAAAACAACTAAATGAAGAAAAGAAAATAGATGACAAAGGTGAGGAAAAGATAATTAAAAAGGGCATCCAAGTAGGCGAAATGCTAGAATTTTTTTGAAGACTGTTTGATAGTAAGCAGTTGGCGAATTTCAATGGAAAATATGAAAGTCCTAGAAAACCTACTACTGAAGAAACTCTGTCGACAATTACGGAAGCCGTTGATGTTCGTTTGAAAGAACTGACTGAACAAACTAGAAAAATGAAGATCGAATTAGAAGCAGCCAATAAAGACTATACTACAATAATTAACTTGAATTCCAAACTAATAGCGGATATGTTAAGCGAAATCGGCAAAAAAATTAAAAAAAATGAATAATCAAGCAAAAATACAAATAATCGAAACTAAAATACAAGAAATTGAAAGCATTCTTAAATCCTGACAAAAAGATATCAAAAAACACAACTCAACCCTAACCGAATTAACCAAACAATTACAAGAAATTAAATCACAAATCAAATAACTATGGCAAAAAATAATAAAAAGAAATGAGCATTACTAGGAGCAGTAGCTGGTCTTTGTGCGGCACCTTTTACTGGTGGAGCCAGTTTAACCTGAACAGTTGCTGCTGCCTCAACTGGATTAGGATTAGTTGGTGGAACTGTTCTTGGTGAAATGACCGACGATAACTCTGGAGACAATAATGACAACAGTGGCATCAACCAAGCCCAACAAAACTACAATGCCCAACTAGAGCAATGAAAGACTTTATCCGAAGAACGAAGAAAGGATTTAGAAAATTTAAGAAAAGATAAAGAAGAAATTGCACAGAAAATAAAACAAAATGATGATGAAATGGATAGATTAAGAGCAATTATTAACGATCCAAATCGGAGCGAAGACGATAAGAATAATGCCAGAAAACAATTAATTATACTAGAAGGCGAAAACAATAATTTGAAAAACCGACTAAGAGATTTAGAGGATAAGATGAAAAATATGGAAAAGGATAGACCACCAATGCCCACTGCCCCTTCAATTCCTTGAAAATTTCCTAAACTAAGTGCCTATGATAAGGCATTAATGGCAGCAATAGTGCTTTTGATAATTTACTTTTTGTTTTTAAGAGATAGTAAGGATAAATAATATGCTGAGTGAAACAGCAAAAATATTCAACTGAGCAGGTATTATTATTAAAACTATTAAT